CAGCCTGTCGCTTATAAGGTTTGACTTCAATGTTCACTTTTATATTTACAAACGCTCTATCTTGACCACTTTATCCCAGAAATATAGCACACATTAAGAGTATTTAAGGTAGAAAAAGTTGTGTATATTAGAGTGCAGACATATGGAGTTAATGATTCATTTAAATGAGGTCTCGAAATGACACGCAGTCTAATAAATATATATAAATATGCTTTGAGTATTATTTGCCTTTAAAGGGAATGTAGCAGAATTTGCTAAAGGTTCGTGACATGAGTGCTGTCTGGAAAGTTCATAGACTGAGCAAGATGTAAAAGTGCGCAGACTTACCATGTAGTAAATTATATAACATTTTAGCATACCAGAATACAACAGATTGCTCTGTTTCTGAACGTTTCAGCCGACACTTGTATACGCAAGTATCATACTTATCATAAAACCCAGGTTGTGTGTGTGTGTGTGTCTGTACGTTTATATATTGGATCGGATTTCTTACATTTTTCAACCGATTTCAACAAAACTTCACAGGACTACGTAAAATTTCTTTACGGTGGTTCTGGCAGCGCCAACAATTGAAAAAACACAATTGTTTTTGCACGAAATCAATTTGAAAACACGATTAAGAGAATAATCGCGAGAATGAAAGGGGGACAACTCATCGAGTTATACTTATAAAACCCAGGTTGTTTGTGTGTGTGTGTTCGTTTATATATAGGATCGGATTTCCTACATTTTTCAACCGATTTCAACAAAACTTCACTTTTTTTTTTTGGCAGGTAGTGTTTCTTATTGTCTTGCACACTTTTTCTTTATTTTTACATTCAGAATGCTTTAAAAATTCCATTTACAAGACAATTGTTTCAATCGGTGGACTCATATTGATTGAAAACAATATTTTTGTTTGAGTTTGGGTTGGACTAATTCGTAAAAAAAAACAAAACAAAAAATAACTAATTAAGACATGCATGTCCATCAACCTTAAACAATAATCTTTGTCAATTTTATTTTTCAGTCTTTATGATGGTCGAGACTTGATTTATCTCTTACTGTTACATCCACGGGCAACGCCGGGCTCTACTGCTAGTAATTGTGACGTCGTCCCCTGGTCGCAGCGCCAACTATGACGTTTTATTCTGGTCTACCAGGGCACCAACTGTGACGTCCCTAAACAGCACCAATTGTGACGTCCTCGCCGCGGCGCCAGCTGTTCGCTCCTCGCTGCTCCGTTCGGGTGTCGCTGCTCCAGACGTGATGTCCGCCTGTCGCGTCTTTCGTGTTGTCTCGTCCTGTGACGACCAACTGGCTTGGTATCGGTCGCGGCACCCAAATGTGACGTTTTAACCTTTTGGTGATTCGGGTGGGAATCTGGTTAGATTTGATATCAGCCTCGTCGTTCCCAACTCGCTTCCAACGCCTGGTTACCAAGGTAACTGCATTGATCCCCAGTCTGCCTACCCACGTTGTGAATTGATCTTAGGCAGACGAGATCAAACAGTGGTTGGGGCCGTAATGCAAACCGAGTTCAACGGGGGTGATACCACACAAATATGCATAAAAGAAAATAAAATGAAAACTCAAAAAGTTCAAAGTATCAAAGAAAAAGGTAACAAACTTTATGTCTGGTTGTTCGATACATAGTGGGTGGCTTTTAATTTTTTCATATCTGTCCAAAGTCCTTTTAGTTGCCTGTTTTTCGTCACTTATCGAAATAACCTTTTCATTTGAATTTTTCTTTGGCCAGTCGGTCTGTAATTGATAATAAGATGCCTTCCCGTACCAATAGTTTGTTTTCATATCCTTAGATAACACAGCCGTCGTCAAAACATATCTGATTCTTTTTTCTTTCTCTTTCTTTTTACTCAGAATTTCCCTGTCATTATGTAATGACACCCTTTCGCCATTTATTACTTATCAAAATATCCCTTATCCATTGTCTCTTAGCCGTGTGTGTGTGTTCTGCTTATCATCCACGATTAGGTCCTTAGCCTCTCCTTTTCTTCTTTTCTTTCTTTTCTTTTTCTGCCTTGTTAAATGGTGCCACATAATGAATAAGCTTGGAGCGTATATTGAGAATTCACATTTGCTATGAAGTTTCAAAAACGTACCCACAAGACAAAGGATTTTCAAAAGGGATTTTTGCTTGACGCCGCTATTCTTGTATATTTCTTCGGATGATTTTAATTTTTTATGATATTTTTCAGCAAAGATGGATTCTTTCTTCTTTATTGCGCTGATATAAGATAACTGACGCAGAAATGTTGCATATATTACAACGCAGAAATATGAGACAAAAGATTCATATGAAAAAATATGCCACCAAAGAGCGCCAAGCTAATAAATAAATATTAATAGTTTGGGACATTCTGTGCAATTCAGGGAAAATACTAGGATGTTATTTATATAATAAACTACAATGAACAGTGTTGAGTCATACACTACAGAATATATATATATATATATATATATATATATATATATATATATATATATATATATATGTTTGAATAAAAACAGACCACTTTAAGGTTCCATGTAAAAAATCGGGCCGTATTAAGCATATGTAAATTAACGAAGTGAGGAAGTGAGTGGGGAGAGAAGGCGAAATGAGGAAGTGAGTGGGGGAGAGAGAAAACATGAGTGAGTTAGATGTACCATTTCAATTCTTTATCCCTAACACCACTTGGTGTGGGCCAGACAACCGGCCCGTCAAAAATGTGTAAATTTCTTTTCATTTTTCATTTCAACCTTTGGAAGTAAAGCCTGATGATCCAGAGCCCTTTTAAAGTAATTATTTACATGGAACCTTAATGTCGTCTGTTTTTATACAAACATATTTGCTCTGAATTTACATTGAGCTCTCTGGATATCATCCTCCTTGGGTCTACCCATACGGATTGCCTAGTTTTGCATAAACTCTCTCTCTCTCTCTCTCTCTCTCTCTCTATATATATATATATATATATATATATATATATATATATATATATAGATATAATTTTAATGACCAAGTAAATGGTTAAAAAAGTAATAAAAAACAAGTTTTACAAATATATCATATATTAAACAGTAAGTACAACAGAAGAGTATTACACGACTAGTGAGAGTGTCATGGTTGAGCCAGCATTCAATCTGCTTGACAGTTATATTTAACAGCCCTCCCCCTCTACGAGGGATGCATGTCGCACAAGGGCAAGTTTACCGTGGGTTTTCCGAACCCGTAGGCTCGGCCAAATATATTCCCTTAGATCCCGCATAAAACGAGTTCAGGATCTGTCTACCTTCCTGGAAAAAACGTTGACCTTCGGCAAAGCCTCGTCCGGGTTCCTCTCTGCTCAAGGCATAGAGTTTGACAGCAGCTGCGAATTGACAGTATGGTAGAAGAATCTATTCGTCTGTCCCCCCAAGGCCTTCTCTCCTACTAATATTATGGTAGGTGGAAGAGTTCAACATCTACTCATTAGAGTGAGGACACCACAATATATATATATATATATATATATATATATATATATATATATATATATATGTATATATATCCGGCCTTCTTCAGGGGTTGGAATGTCGAACTGAACCCTTTATTTCGCTCATTGCTGGGGTAGATTGTTCTAGTTCCACGTGCCAAGGACACATGGCACAGTGGATAAAGGCATTGGTTAGATCCAGTGACAGGACCCAAAGAGTGTGAGTTCAATACCCGGTTAAGGCAGTGGGGAACTTTCAGAGGGTAATTAACAGGAGATAACTTATAACTGACATCCATTAAAACATGGCATGAACAAGAACAGTCTACCCCATGAGCGAAAATAAAAGTTTCAATTCGGCATTCCAACTACCTGAAGAAGGTTGAGCGTACAACCGGAGCGTTGTAATAATTATGGCGACAAAGTTGAGGACAATAGTCCATATAATGTAAATAATGATTCTTTTTTATTACAAATTTATTTTGTCAGAAAGGTAAAATGCATTTTATGATTAAATTTTGCACTCGTCAAAATATCATCCTTTCGTCGTGATTACCTCAGCATACATTTTTTGCATCCGTTGCAAAAGTTTCTCAAAGTATAACTTTGTCAATTGATTCCATTCTTTTTTCAATGATTTTAAGCTCTCTTCATTTTTTTCTCTCTTTTGTCAAGTTCATCCCATGCTAATTCTTAGGGTGGCTTCAAACGTTTGAATTGTAGTGAATGTGGAATTGGTGTATTTGTTTTTGATCAAAAGACCAAAAATTCCAATGTTTTCTCTGTAGACGAGGCAGCAAGTCAAAGAGTTAATTTGTTTTCGAAGGATTAGCTAAATAAAATAAAAAGAATATAAATTTTGTGCTATAAATCTCATTAATCGCAAAATCGTGAATTTAGAAAATCTACTGCCGCGGCTTCATATAAATCAGTTTTGTTAGAACCCCATCGAAGGATCGATCATATTTTATGCCTTTTGTGTCAAAGAATTCCTGGTTTGTTTGAGGCGGAACTAAAAAAAAAGGGTTCTTTAGATTTTGTTTTGTTTGTTTAACGGCATATAATTTCTTTAAGGGTCATTTAATGTCGAAATTTATTTTCTTGGGACCATAAGCAATTTCTTCGACAAAATTGTATTGCCGGTAATTTGTTTTATTACAAAAGTGTACTGCTTTTAATTTCTTTGTTTATGAAACTCCGTCACTGTTTTCTTTTATTATAAATATTTTATACTTCCGTAGTGTTTTGACCACAATTTGGGGGTTAACTATTTGTCCATAGCTGGGAACCTAACAGCTGGTACTACGGTGGGTCAGGATGGACCTCGGAACAGCAATTCAGTTGTGGCTCCACCCTCCTCAAAACAACCCGACCTTGCTGACAGATGTATTTTATCGTCATCCCTAGGAGAGGAAAGAGTTCGAAATTACCGTGCTGATTTTAAAAATAATTATTTCTCATTTTGAATCTTATAGAGATCAGGATCCACAGGCTTATATATCATGCAAATAATTAAATCTAAAACGAGGATATGAATACAAAATGCAATTTGAAACAAATATGTTTGAGGTGACTCATTTTCATAAAGAAGTCACAACAACTATAAATATCTATGGTTTTTACCCATGAGGCATTTGAGTTCATACTACTTCCCCTGAGTCAGTAACACTAGACTACAATGTTAATGACGATAAACAGAGCAAACAATAGCTCCTTTTAATCACGGGGAAATAAAAACTCTTTAACAAATCTAAACCACGTATTATCTCCCTTTGTTGCTTTGTCACTTTCCTTTCTTTCTTGCTACCATTAAGAACAGAGTTGCAAAAGACAGAAATATATAAAACGCGCTCCCTCCCGGCACCGAAAGAAAAAAAAACAAACAAACACAGGCTCTATTATTCAACAGCCTTTTTAAAATATAATCAGCTACAATGAATAAAATTGGAGTGTATATGGAGAGCTAACATTTACGTCTGTTTCCTTCATTTAATAGTCAACAAAGTTTAACAAAACAAAATGGCAGGATTATTTTTTTTTGTTTGCCATAGCTATTTCTGTTTACTTTCTCAGGATATTTTATTGCTTTCAGAATATTTTTTAATATATAATTTTAATAAAACAGAAGCATATACACCTTTGTTCAAATTAATTGAAACAAAACGAATAATTCCGTTATTATTTACTCCTTTTTCGTATTTTCCAATAAAACATAACCCAGTGCACATATTCGTACTTCGTATGTCCATTCCACTGAGTCATTCCTTGGAGATTGACCCCAGATTCTCGATTGGTCAGTATATATTACTTTGAATCGCTTAGCAGTGTGTTCGTGCACCGTTACAATTTTCATACATTTCATTGGAATAAAGTTCATCGCAGACATCAGCCGTAGGACAAGTAATCGACAGTCGAGTCAATAGTGTCAGGGCGTAATAAAAATCGGATGCAATAGTTTCAAGTCCAAACAAATTTCATCAAAGCTACGAATATAGATTCATACTTCTGCACGCCACTGTAAATGACTTAATCTGAGGAAGAAATAGAAATCGATTACACCCTGTCATTCCAATGGGTCTAAAACTAACCGTATGTTGAAATAAAGGAAACTAAAACCTCATTTATACTTTTTTTTATTGAGAATTGGCAGCAGATGTATGGAATATTCATTTTATTAGACTAATTATTTACATAAATTAATTTATTAATTAAAAAGGTTATAAAAAATGATACACCAACTGCAATGACATATTTATTGTCCACCATATATATATATATATATATATATAAATATTTTTTTTTCAAGAGGATAGAATCCAGGTAGAGCCCAATGTCCAAGATAGAGCAATAATATAATATAAAAGTCTCAAACACTAACATGCCATGGTTATAATTTATTACATTAGAATTGTAATCACGATACAATTCATCAGACCATGATTATGATTCCAATGTAATAAATTATAACCATGGAATATTAGTGTTTGAGCTTTTTATATCATATATATATATATATATATATATATAGTGTTGATTCAAAACCTATAACGTAAACATCTTATAACATCTCTTCAAAAATAGCCATATTTTTCAAAACTTCTGGTGTCTTGTCAAATGTTGGTGTTGATGGCAGAATAAACTCATTATCTATCTATCTATCTATCTATCTATCTATCTATCTATCTATCTCATCTATCTAGGTCTGTTTATATCTATTTATCTCTCTCTTTCTGTTTTTATCTATCCATTTAATTCTGTTCTCTACCTTGCGTAGTTCTTGGACCTCCTATTAGGCGATTAATTAATAGCAAATATAATAGAGGCAAACGTGGCTATCCACGGATTACTTTTTTTATCATCTATTAATTGTGATGTAATTGTAAAAGACAGTGAATTTTAATCATTTCATCCCAGGCAATTAAATGAAGCTACTAAGTCTCAATCAGTTAGTGAGTGTGAGTGAATATGGAAAGCAAGAATCAGAAAAAGAAATTCACAAGAGGGATGTGCGGTATAAGAAAATGTCAGCATAGAACTTACGGTTACCACTAGACATCTCAAGTGGAAAATGAAGAAAACTTGCCACCATTCTATTGGCAGGCTTAAATTATGAAGTCATGTTACCAACGAGTATATTTCACCAGAACAATTACCCTGAAAGTAATTATAGAAAAGACACAGAGAAGCTACGTTACGGCGGTAGGAAAGTAACTGTTTTTTTTTGTTTTGTTTTTTTTTTGGAGGGTTTATTCGATCATTGCTGGGACCATAACATTGTTACCACCCTGGATCAGGGTGGACCTGGTAACAACAGCTATTAAGGGGTGTCTCCACCCTCGTCTTGATCTCGGATATAGTTTATCGTTATACACAGGACTATACTATTAAGGAGAGAGGAAATTAAAAGAATAAGAATTAAAAAGATAATGACTGACATTAGATTTAAATTTTTGATTGAAAAGCTAGAAACCGGAATAGAATTCCACAAGCGAGAAGTGCGAGAAAAGAAACTGTTAGCATAGAACTTACGGTTACATGTAGCCATTTGCCGATGAATTTAGAATTCGACCTTGCAGTGCTCACGGGCCCGGTCAGCTCCTGTTGTTTGATTATAGCTTGGATGTGACACATGTTTGAATGTGTGGTGCTTCCAGTGAGGATCGAACTCACTATTCAATCGTAATTGATCTAGCGAGACAAGCTTGCATACCGATACGCAACGTCGAAGTGCCTCAGTTTAAATTTATATGGCACACAGTGAGGAAACTTTAGAAACAAAGAAACGATTACGAAACTGTGACGTAATGTCATTCCTCCTATATGGCAGTGAATGGCTTATGTACGAACATGAAGCCATTTCACACACGCCAGCATAAAGGCTTCATTTATTTGCCAAGTACATTTGCATGTTAATGAATGCAACTGACTATATTGCTGATTTGATATCCGTTTCATTAATGACACTTTCTACGTAAGTCCAGTAAATTAATTAACATAATTGCAAACGTGGGGACATAAACATGTGTTAAATTTAAAATTCTGGATCAGGAAGATTCGGAAGTGATTCGCAGAGGTTAAGACAAGTTGAATATGTTTCACTTTATCGAACAATAAGAACCAATTTGAATCTGCAGACCTTTTATATTCCTTCTTAAAGTTACGTTTAATCTATTATAATAAACGCGAATGTTAGTGTGTCACTGTGTCGCACTTTTTCAACTTTATTTCTCGTGGCCGTAGCCCAAGGTATTTGACCATTTTGCAATCAGGCCGACTTCCTGAGCAAATTAAAAACATTTCGGGGTGGATCCGAGCACACGATCATGAAATTTTGGATTGTCAAGTTTTCATCAATGCGATTTTTTTCGGATATTTTTGACGTGATTTTTTGCGATGATTTTTTTTTCATACGATAACAATTTTTATAACTTGGAAATGAATTTGGGAATAATCGAAATTGATTGCGAAATTCAGCGAATGTCACTCATGAAATAAAAATATTTGTTTGTACGGAAAGTAAGGACCTACGTACATCAAATTATCTTTAAATTGGCGGCAGAAGAATGATCGTTGAACTTTAAAAAGTAAGCCTAAATATAAATGCAATAAAGGCAGCGATCGATGTTGAGTTCTGTAGTTTATTGTTGCCTATCACAGTTATTCCTCACTACTTATTTTGATGGAGGCTCAATCAAGATCCCACCGCGCAGGATAATTTAAATGCCGCCCGATTGGGCGGATTTTAAGCTAGTTTAAAAATAAATAATTTACGTTTAATCCATATAATAAATACGAATGTCATTGTGTCACTGTGTCACACTTTTTCAACTTTCTTTCTCGTGGCCGTAACACAAAGTATCATACCATTTTGAAATCCCGACGACTTCCTGAGCAAATTAAAAATATTCTGGGCCGGATCCAGAACTGCAATCCTGAAATTTTCGATTCCCAAGTTTTCATTATTGCGATTGTTATCGGTGATTTTTTGACGTGATTTTTTGCGATGAAATATTTTTTGTGCGACAACAATTTTTATAACTTGGAAATGAATTTGTGAATAATCGAAAGCGATTGCGAAAAACCGGATGAATGTTACTCATAAAATAAAATAAAAATATTTGTTCGTACGGAAAGTAAGGACTTACGTACATCAAATTATCTTTAAATTAAGTGGCGGCAGAAGAATTATCGTTGAACTTTAAAATGTAAGCTTAAATATCAATGCAGTAAATGCAGTGATCAATTTTGTGTTCTTCTGTAGTTTATTGTCGCCTATCGCATCTACTCCTCAGTAACTATTTTGATGAAGGCTCAATCAAGAACCCTCCGTGGGGGGCTAATTTAAATACCAACCGATAGGGCGGCTTTTAAACTAGTTTAAAAAGTAAATAATTTACGTTTAATCTATATAATAAATGTGAATGTCAGTGTGTCATTGTGTCGCATTTTTCAACTATATTTCTCGTGGCTGTAGCCCAAAGTATTACACCATTTTGGAATCAGGCCGAATTTCTGAGCAAATTAAAAACATTTCGGGGTGGATCCGGGCCCACGATTATGAAATTTTGGATTCCCAAGTATTCATTATGGTATTATTGCGAATTATCAAAGAGAAAATAAACTTAATTAAAAAATCATAACGTGAACTTTGAAGAAACAGAAAAAAATTCAAAATATTATTTGATTGTGTCTAATGTTTAATGAACAAAATTTAGTTTGACATACCCTATTTTTCTTCTTTGTGTCGTGTCTCTTCAGGGCCTTGGCGATCACAGCTCTCTACAATTTCCTTTTCTTTGTAGCTCTTAATAAATTTTGTCAATTGTTATCACTCTTAAACCTTGTTTCGCTATCCATCTACGCAGGTTCGCTTGACAGGTTATGCGTTTTTTATTTCTTTGTCTACAATCTGTCCTGTGAATATCAAATTTTCCAAGCCCTCTTTCCTAGAAATATCAAATGTCTCTTCCTGTCGTTTTTGTTCCCATATTTTTCTAAAACTTCGTCGTTGCTCACATCTTTGGTTCATGGTATGCTCAGCATCCTTCTGTAGAACTATGTTTCTGTGGCTTCAAGTTTATTCTTCCGGTGTGACGAGAGTGTCCCACAGTGCTTACCATATAGGAGTTATTATATTATGCCTAAATTCAGTACTCTTTTTTTGGTTCTAATGTGTCCTCACAATGTACCCTACAAGCAAACATGTCATACAAGATCAAATTACGACTGAGTAGTGAGTTCGATCCTGTGTCATTCGGCCTTGTGACATATCTAAATTACCTTTAGGAAATAATTTTTCTGCAATTTACGTTAAACCCACTTTAAAATGATCGTACGTCACACTCGGTTGCCACATAGGGACATTGAAAAATAACCATAAAAGTCAACTGGCTGTTTTGATGTTAAATATAAGTGTTCTTTTTACTTCTGTTTTCTCTAAAACTTTATCACATGCTCGGTCTATGGTATTCTTAGCATTCTACTGTCGAATAAACCACTTTTCTGCTACTTCGTCTCTTCTTCATCTGTGAATATGCACTCACATATACAAATACCCTTTAAAATTATATACCAATGCATTCAGTTAGTCATACGCGATACACGCTTAGATGATCATTTATCTTTCGATACATGATTGACAAGGCAGATATTTTTTCCCGCAGTAGTTTGTCATTTCTTTCTGCGGTAGACCAGTTACCATCCAAGGCTATAAAACCCGGTCTGTCCTGCTATTTAACCTATAGCTGGGGGGAGAAGAAGAGGATTCATAACTTTCCCAAGAGTATTAGCACGTCAATCAGTCAGTTATATGCCATGCGTGATACACGCTTAGGCGATCATTTATCTTTCGATACACGACTAACCTGACAGATTTTTTCAGGCAGCTGTTTGCCAATTCTTTCTGCGGTAGACCAATTGCCATCCAAGGCTATGAAACCCAGTCTGTCCTGCTATCTACCCATAGCTGCGGAGAGAAGAGGATTCATACCTTTCCTAAGAGTATTAACACGTCAGTCAGTGAGTTATGTACCATGCATGATACACGCTTAGGCGATCATTAATTTTTCGATACATGCCTGACGAAGCAGATTTTTTTCCTGCAGTATTTTGTCATTTCTTTCTGCGGTAAACCAATTGCCATCCAAGGCTATAGAACCCGGTCTGTCCTGAAATTTACCCATAGCTGGTTGAGAAGAGGATGCATACCTTTCCCAAGGGTATTAACACGTCAGTCAGTGAGATATGAGTCTTGCGTGCTACAGGCTTAGGCGATCATGTATCTTTCGATACATGGCTGACGAGGCAGATTTTTCCCCGCACTAGGTTGCACTTCTTTTTGAAGTAGACCAGTTGCCACCAAAAGCTATAGAACCCGATCTGTCCTGCTATTTATCCATAGCTGGGGGGAAAAGAAAAGGATTCATATCTTTCCCAAGGGTATTAGCACATAAGTGAATGTAATGAATTCGACTGGCATTTATCTATCAATCTAGTTTTCTATCGGCTTTGATAAATTTATCACGCCCATGAGCCCCTAAAGCCCATAAGGTCTAGGGAGCACCACACGTATTGCAGTCGTAGTTGTAGTGGTAGTGTTTCCCGGGAAACGAATGCTAACCATCTCCAAGCTGGTTTGAAATCGGAGTTTCCTTCTCCTAGACTAGTCGCCTACCAAGACCAACAGGAAATGTCTGTCCAGCTATTCACCTATATTTAGGGATAAATATATTTATATCTATCTTTCTATCTATCTATCTATCTATCTATCTGTGTGTGTGTGTGTGTGTATGTATTTTCTAAAGATTAATGACTTTTCTTTACTCATTTTTCTCATTATTGTAAAGACATATCTATCTATCTATCTATCTATCTATCTATCATTCTAACGTATTCTGTTCATATCAATCTATCTATCAATTTATCTGATTATATTCATATCTATCTATGTATCTTTCTATCCATCTATCTTATTCTGTTCATATCTATTTATCGAGCTATTCTGTTCATATCTATCTATCTATCTATCTATCTATCTATCTATGATTCTGTTCATATCTATCTATCTATCTATCTATCTATCTATCTATCTATCTATGCACTTAATACATCTTAACCTCATCAAAGAACCACATAAACGCTTCCGAAGAGATGTAAGAATAGATTCGAATTTAGTAAATATGCATAATATTTCCTATTATTTCGCGTTTCATTTTCTTACAAATGATTTTAGATGGCTTGGTAATATATTTTCTATCAATCGGATTCAACACTTTAAATATTTCCATTTAAAGCTGCCCTATAACATCTGAATGGTACTGCTGTTAATAGAATTATCTGTCGAGTTTTCAAATTAAACTTTGTCATCAATCGATACCGAGACGAACGGATATAATTGTTAGATCCTTTTGAGAATAGCAAGTGACACTTAAGTGACGTGTAGTTGAAAGATTACTCTCTCGAAATTCACCCAATTAAAACGAAGGTGAAAATGAATCGCTCTAAAGCTACCATTGATATTTACTCGAATTTTACGCTTAATACATTCTGATAGATTATTGACTTAGTCTAGCGCAAGTGATAATGATTAAACTCATTATCAATGGCTTGCGAAACAAGATTATTGATCAACAGTACACAACGCAGCTTCTCAATCAGATGTTCGCTACCCTTTAGAGAATTCCTTGAATTTATTGAATTACAATAGCCCGGCATTGTATTGAAATTTTGTTTATTGAAGTCTGCTTCAGTTTATTTATTTAATAATTAGATATGAATTAAAACAAATTACTGTTCAGGTTTTTAAAAATCCTCATATTCTATTGCTGTCAAATTTGAAAAAATGCTCTATAAATATAATCCATGTTAATGTATATCTATTAATATGGAGGAGGAAGAATTTCAAAAATATATGCATACTATTTGCAATGCACCTTTTAAGTCGGACACTCCTGGAAAACAAGGAAGGGTTGGATAACATTTTGACATATGGAGAAAAGGTGCACTGGTCAAAAAAAAAAAAATGGTTGAGTATCACTGCTTTAAGATCTAACTGAAACTATTCAAATGTTCTATATATCTGATCAATTTCGACTATTCTATTAGCCGTTATCAAGGATGAATTGTATTTATTTATTTTTTAAATTGAATATGTAGATATATATGCATATATATCTATATATATTTATGTATATATATATATATATATATATATATATATATATATATATATATACACACACAAACACATATATATATTATATATTATCTATTGTATATTATCTATTGTATATTATCTATTATATATATGTGTGTATATATTACAGTGTAATCCGGATATAAGAGACCCGGATATAAGTGAAACCCGGATATAAGAGAGATTTTCTCTAGTCCCAAATTAGAGCCTGTGTTAATGTAAACAAAATAGACCAAACCCGGATATAAGAGAAACCCGGATATAAGAGAAACCCGGATATAAGAGAAACCCGGATATAAGAGACTTCTTCTCCGGTCCCGACAACTCTCTTACATCCGGGTTACACTGTATATCAAATTTTATGCCCAGAAAAAATACTTGTTTACTGAAGTTAGCATCACATTATGTATTTAATAATTATCAAGGGGTTGCGGAACAAGATTAATAATCACCAGTATACAACGGGGCTTCTCAAGCCGGGGTTCCACGACCTTGGAGTATTTCTATGTTTCAGGTGTGGCGGGGGGGAAGGTTATCTTATTTTTTTCACAAGTTTCTCATTGACTTGTTATATTCATCAGAATAAAATCGATTTAAATACCCAGACCTATCACTGAACTTTTTTATTTATTGAATTCCAATACCCTGGCATTCTATTAAAATATTATTTATTGAAGTCTGTTCTGTTTATTTATTTAATAATTAAATAGGAATTAAAACAGATTACTGTACATGTATTCAGTATTTAAGATCTATCAACATATTCTATTGCTATTCAAATAGTAAGCCTATGAAAATAATCCGTGCAAATGTTTACAGAATGAACTAATATGGAAAAGAAGGAAGTATTTCAATTATAGATGCATATTATTTGGAATGCCTCTTTAGAAGTCGGACAATCTTGCAATGTGAAGGGGATGTTATTCTGACTGATGGCGAAAAGGGTGCACTGGGCAAAAACAAATTCCAGATCACTGGTATACCAGAGGCGAAGACGATTATTATTATTATTATTATTATTATTATTATTATTACATTTGATTTCTGGTATGTACACATTTCTTTCTGGCCCCGACCAGAGACCAAAGTTCAGAAATTGCAACATGACATTTTCCACTGAGTTAAAAATTTTGAAAAAGGTAAGACGATAAACTACATCGAACAGCAGGCTCCCTAATCAAGGGGTTTTGAGGAGCGTGGAACCACCATTTAATTGCTGGTGTTCTCACGTGGTAGCACCTGTTAGGGTCCCAGCTATGGGCAAATAGTTAACCCCCAACAAAACACTAGGAAAATGTAAAAATAGTTTTTAATACCAGCAATACATCTTTGTAAAGTATTATTGCCAGCACTGAATTTTTGAAGAAAAAATTATTACCAGCAACACATTTTTGAAAAAGCTTATTACCAGCAATACATTAAAAAATATATATTACCAGCAATACATTTTTGAATAAAAAAATATTACCAGCAATAAATTTTTGAATAAAAAATATTACCAGTAATATATTTTTGAAGAAAAAATATTACAAGCAATATATCTTTAAAGAAAAAATATTACCAGCAATATATTTTTGAAGAAAAAATATTACCAGCAATAAAAAAATCTTGTTGGCATTAAATAATCCATTGAGATTGATAGGACGTAAAACAAAACAACCTAAAAGAAATCACTTTATTTAATTTAGTAGGTAGAATGTTCTCGTTCAACTGGCCATTCTTATTTCGTATTGCTCAATTATTGTTCACACACGCACCCTCTGAGTCGAATTACACGCTGCCCGGTTCAGGGATCTAATCATTTATTACTAGATTCACAAACAACGTTGTTATACAGAAGCTATTGTCCATTGGAAAAATCCAGATGGGAAAACATGGAGTCATAAATCTAACTTCACTCACCGAGTCTTCTAGTTTTTTACAGCTGTTGTTATATATATATATAAAATATGTAAATACACACACACACACATACACACACACACACACACACACACACACACACACATATATATATATATATATATATATATATATATATATATATATATATATAATATGGGAAAATATATAGAAAATAGGAAGGAACTGGTTAGGTAAATAATCCCTTAGTATTTTTAGTTATTATTTTTAAAAATAGTGCTCGATACAAAAAGTAGAGCATAAATATAATTATTTAAAAATATGATTCCAAATCGCGACATAAGAAGTCCCATGTTTCAAAAAGCAAGAGCCGAAAACTTCAATATAATTATTTAAATTATTTAAATTAAATTGAGTTAAAATAAGCTCTGTTCCATCTTCAAGCGAAATTTTTTTTTGGAATAACGTGTTTCTGAAATTTACGTGTTTTAAAAAATTGAAATCAAAATTTCCATGGTAACAGCTAGGGCAAATTGTTTAAATTGGGTAGGCGTGTGTTGGGTGTTAATAATAAGTATCAGTATAGAGTTACTTTCGTAGATTTCAAGTCAGTGAAAGGTGGGGGTGTCTACATTTGAAACGGAAGATGTATTAACCCTCGTCTAGTTTGCATGTCTATGGAGATTTATTTATTTTTATTTTATTTTTTATGAAAGGATTTGTGCATATAAAAAAAACAAACAAAAACTATTTGTAACGTTTGTTTTTGACGACTTCTATAAAGGGTTATCTTTTTTTTTAGGTATTTAAACTATTTATTTCGGCTATGGATTATGAAGGGTGTTATATTGTATGCATGTTTTTTAGTTAATTATTCAAATCATGAATCTGATGAGTGGGCTATGGATTAAACAAGTTATTATATTGTATGCTAGTTTTTAGCTAATAGTTCAAACCAAAAATCTGATGATGCCTATATATATATATATATATATATATATATATATATATATAATTTTCCATGAGGATAGAATCCAAATAGAACTCAGTGTCCAGGACAGAGTAAGAAAATATATGTATAAGAATTAATATATGAAGCAACAGTCTTCCCCGAAGAAAATATCAACCAGAAAAAAATATATATATAGGTATATCCGCTGGTGATTGGAAGCATCGTGTATACAACCATAGACGCTCTTTTAAAAATCAAACTTCCTTATCCAAACACTACTGGAATATGGTGGATAAGGAACTAAACCCGCATTTTGAATGGGGATTCTTATCAAAAGCGAGAACCCCTAATAACTTCCGGTTTTATAACGTGTTGTTACCTATAACAGTTCCAACTTGGATTACTAACATCGGATATGACATTTAAATGGAGTGATTTTATGATTATATATATATATATATATATATATATATATATCATTATGTATGCTTATGTGATGCTCTGTATATTTTTTGATCATTTAATTTGGGTTAGCAAACTTTATTCATGTTTGATATATGTGTATGTGGGTATGTAGATAAAAGTTATCCTAAATAACTGATATACAAAATCTAGAAGTTTTATGATATTTTTATATACCTAGGTATATATGTAAAATTAAGAGATAGATACACGTTAACCACTCCGTGGGTTTTTAATATTGTTAACGTTTTCTTCCTCAGTGTTCTTTAAGTACAAATTAATTTAATTCTTCCAATTTATTTTTATATGTTAAATGTATGTGGTTTTTAAACTTTTAATTTTTTTTCTTTTTTTCATCTTTTTAACTTATATATATATATATATATATATATATATATATATATATATATATATGTTTGTGCGTGTGTATGTTTGCGTATGTGTGCGTATGTTTAGGTACGTATGTATACATAGGTATATATGTATAGGTGTATATATGAGTATGTGCTTATGTATGTATATATGTGTAAATTTATAGTTAGATGGATAGATAAATAAGTTGTATAGTTGTTTAGATGAGTGTGTGTATGTAAATGTATAGAATTATATATATATACATGTTTATGTGCACGTATGTGTATATCCGTATATATTATGTGTGTGTATATATATATAAAAACGTATATATATATATATATATATATATATATATATATATAATTTAAATAAAACAGACCATTTTGAATCTGTTCCATGTAATAAATTATTTCTTAAAGAAACTTTTTAAGGACTGCTGGGATCATCAGACTTCACTTCAACCTTTAGAAGTAAAGTTCGATGATCGGCAATCCTTTAAAAGGGCTGTGAAATAATTTATTACATGGAACCTTAATTTATTTAAATTATTTGCTCTGGATTTACATTGAGCTCTCAAATTTATCCTCCTTTTTCTACCCATACCGATTACCTAGTTTTTCAAATATATATATATATATATATATATATATGTGTGTGTGTGTGTGTACACGCGTATATGTATGCATGTGCGTGTAAATATAAATATGTTGTTGTGTATGTGTGTATATACGTATGTGTTTTTTGGGCATAGAAATATTAGGTCCTTGCTAGATTAAATATTCGTTAATCTTTGCTATGCTATATTAACCTGTAAGTGATATTACTTTTGTCAAATATATATATATATATATATATATATATATATGTGTGTGTGTGTGTGTGTGTGTGTTTCTATGTGTCTGTGTCTCGCTGTGAGTCTGCTTCATGGAATCGATTCCAAAAGAGATGCTGGCACGATTACTTCAATCTTAACCTTTTGAATTTAGGGTCAATCCTTATCTTCCCCAGATATCTCCATAAACTCTGCTTCTTACTTAGTAACCCTCAACCCCAGTATTCCTTGAGCCTTATCCAGAAACAAACTTATATATATATATATATATATATATATATATATATATATATATATATATATATATTAGCCGATCAATATATTTTTAATTTCGTAGTCTAAGTTTAATGTCGGATTTTTTTTTAATGTTTTATTGATCTTTTATCTTGCAGTCTGACGATCGTCTTCGTTAAGCAGCATTGTAATCGTTTGGAAATCTGTAAGCTTTTTTCCTTCCGCCTTTCCCTGATAACTCGTGGGGGTGTAGGCCCACTTGAAAACGACACTCTTATCCTGACCCCAGCGCCCTGCCCCAAGCAGTAGAAGAAACATTCTTCTTCCTCCGTCATTTATCACTACTCTCAAAATTACTTTTCTCCTGGTAATTATCTTGCAACCCATTTATCACTTGTCATGGACACATGTGTCAAGCTATTAATGTTCCTCACTGTTTATCTCTTCTCAGCTTTTGATATATATCTAATTATAATAGCCTGTTTATATCGATATATCCATTACTGTCTGTTCATTACCAAATCTATATCTCAGTTTGTTCATCTCAGTCTCTTTCAATGTATATATATCGCAATGTGTTCATCTATCTATCTATTTTCATTATGTAACTATCTATTTCTGGCCATTATTTACGCATAGTGACTTACACATGTTCTTTAATACACAACTCACACGATGGACATAACGAACTCATAGCAAGGGGGGCGTTTTAAGGTTCAGTCGAAACTCTCATGTAAGCGAGTTTTTGATTGGCTACAAATCCGTTCGATTCCCTGCTACGTCAGCGGAAGTTATAAAGCTCTTGGCTTCATTTAGCCAGCTGGACGTGGACAGACAGCGAGGAATCATATGTCCGTCTTCTGACACCATATACCACGCCTTTTCGGAAGCAAAATCTGTATCGTTCCATTACAAAAAAAAAAATTACATAAAATGCAGAGGTTCTGTATAGTGAATATTTTTCTTAATTGAATAAGTGTTTATGCTTGAATTACGTTTGAATGTTTCCTATTCTTTTCTTAGATTTATTAATAATGACCAGTATAATAAATCATTAGATTTACTCATTATCAATGTTTCTTTCTTTCTTTCTTTCTTTCTTTCTTTCTTTCTATCTATCTATCTATCTATTTCTTTCTATCGATCTATCTATCACTTTCAGTTTGATCGTTGTCTATCTGTCAATATATCTATCGCTTTCACGTTAATAATTTTCTATCTATCTATCTCTTTCAATTTGATCATTGTATATCTGTCAATCTATCACTTTCACACTGATTAATTTCTATCTATCTATCTATCTATCTATCTATCTATTTCAGTTTGATCATTGTCTCCTTCCATGTATATCTATTTATCTCTTTCAGCATGACCATTATCTATCTATCTATATGTTGTGGTAGGATCCACCTAATTTGCATAGTGGAGTACCGACCATATAAATATGGTTGGTGCCGGGAAGAGAGGGAGGAATCAAGAGATTCAACCAGAGACTCTGCCCGACTGCGACTAATTCAACACATTCTCCAGGAACGCTCTTACCAGGAATATACAAAAGACTATATGTAAATATTGTGTACACTTTCTTGTTTCAATACATTTTGTTCTAAGTACATTTTGTGTTGCATTATTATTCCATGCATTAGTCAAGTTTCAACACTATCAATTTCAGTTTGATCATTATCTCTCTCCATGTTTATCTATATATCGCTTTCAGTATGACGATTATCTATCTATCTATCTATCTATCTATCTATCTATCTATCACAGTTTCGTCATTTCTATCTATCTATCTATCTATCTATCTATCTATCTATCTATGTCATTCAGTTTCATCATTAAATGTCTGCCTGTCTGTCTATTTATCTCTCTACTGTTTATGTGGATGTTTGGTCCAAATCGATGCAGAAATTGTCCATAATCATTTTTGTTGGCCTTTTTCCGAGCGATTTTTCTCTGGTCAACCATAGGAATAAAATCCCCACATTACTTTTACGGAAAATTTATGATACAGTGAAAGTGATGTACTGACTAAAGAGAAGAACCATCTTTGAAAATTTCGGTGTACGCTCTTGAAGTTAACCCTACTCGCCTTTGAAGTTTACATGCATACATACATACATACATACATACATATATATATATATATATATATATATATATATATATATATATATATATATATATATATATATATATATATGTATGTGTGTGTGTGTGTGTGTGTGTTAGGCAACCTGACGATTGGTCTAGCATGAAACAGCCTACCGCTCCTGAAGTGTTAAATTCAATGTTCACTTTTATATTTATATTTACATACGCTCTATCTCTGATATTGAGCACCTTATCCCGTAAATGTAGCATCTTAAAAACTATATTTCTTCATATATATATATATATATATATATATATATATATATATATATAAAAACTCGTTGCAGAATTTTTTAATATATATAAAGGAGAGATTATAATTGTTCTAACGAGAAAAAATATATTTTAAAGAGAGAAGTCGTCGCAAATATTTAGGTTAATAATATATATTTTTATATATTATATTTTATTTTCTATATGTGTTTCCTGTCTAGTGACTTTCATCAGACGATGAAAATTTATACCCACAAATGATTTATAGGTTCTCTTTGTTTCTTATGTTGTATCTTTTAACCAGGGATTAGTAGTGATCTCAAATCATCTTAAACTGGTGGAAGAGATCCCCTTTGCTTAAGCTATAATAAAACCATTAGGATTCGAGAATTTAAAATTTCAGCCTCTTTATATTTATTTTAGTTAAACAGAACACCGTGAAGAAATTAATTCATTAATTTCTTTTTGTAAAACGATTTACTTAATTCTACTTTAAATTGTAAAATAAATAATGCAATAAAAATATGATATTATTTACTTAGAAAAGCTGTTAATTGCTTTCATGCATAAAACATATTAAGATCACTATTTTCTTAAGGAAAAAAAACTTCAGTGAATATTGAATAGTTTTCTTTCTTTTAAACTTCTAGTTAGTCATTATCAGAAAATAAGAGTGAGAACTATAATACATTTAATGTCAACTTGTCAAAATCAAAGTAAAACTTTAGATTCAGGAGAATATTTTCCTAAATTTTTAAAATTACTGGGTGGATATCATTTTCACGTCATTTTATTAAATTATGTTTTACAGGTGAAGTCTTTGTAGAAAAACAGTAAACTTGTAATCAGGTTGTCAACACGTCAATATAGTTACTATCGGATTAAAAAACACAACGGCTGTCAGGTAAAAAATTGCATTTCTGAGATATTTTACACTAACATAATACCATTTGTTTAAGATGTATTTTACTTTAAATTAGCTAATAATTCCCAAAATGAAAAATTCAGAAAAGTATATTTTTATTTCTAATAGATTTTATAATATAGAGATTTACATCGAAATGAAAAACGACTAAATATGCGCCATTTTATCGAAGAAAAATGTGTTTCCGGTCTAGTGACCTTCATCAGACGATGAAAGTTTATACCCATATATGATTTATAGGTTGTCTTTCTGACTTATATTGTATCTTTTAACCAGATAGTCCTCTTTGACCGGAGGAAGAGAGTTTGACCAGCAATGCTGGAGCCGAATCTCTAACTGCAGACCATACAGTATTTATTACTCTATTTATTTTAATGGATACATACCATTATCGTCCCTATGTATGCTACAACAATACATCTATCTATCTATCTATCTATCTATCTATATATATATATATATATATATATATATATATATATTCATATGGAGTTATATATTCAGGATATATATATATATATATATATATATATATATATATATATATATATATATATACAGTAGCGTCCAAAACTAAGGACAACATTTTAAAACCTAATATTTGTTAGAATTAACAACTGTGAAAAAGCTGAAATTTTGACAACTGGTAGTCGTTATCATCCATAATAACATACTAAAAATTTGAATCATTTGCAAAGGATAGAAAAGAATTATAACAATTATTTATTTATTTTCAAATTTGGAACGTCCAAAAGTAAGGGACAAAATTGAGAAAAACAATGTAAAAATATGCTATATTCAAATTTTTGATTTCCTCTAAAGAATAAGTCTGACGTTGCATCAGCCGGCACCATGGCGAAACGCCAAAAACTTGATTACTCTGTGAGACAAGCTATTGTGAAGCTACAAGGAAAAGCACACCATTAGAGAGATTTCAGAGAAAGTGAAAACGTTCCAAGAGTGTTATAAAGGGTTGTTAAATCCTACAATGATACTGGCAAAATAGTTAGTGCTTTTAAAACCAGCAGACCCCACAAAACTTCGGCAAGAGAAGATCGAATAATGCAGCGTATGTCATTAAAGGACCGTTTTAAGTGTTGCACAGAAATTAAAAGGGTTATGAATAGTACCTCATGTGTTAATGTGTCAAGACAGACTGTTTTAGACGACTGCAAGAAATAGGGGCTGCTTAATCGAACCCAGGGAAGAAACCACTTGTTAGTTCGAAGAATAAGAAGAAGAGATTATTGGCCACCAGAAGTCCTCATTTAAATCCAATAGAAAATCTTGGAAGACCTTAGGAGGAAAGTTATGAAAGAAACCTACTAACACGGAGGATTTGTGGGGGAAAAAAAAAGGGAAAAACCCGGGGGGCCCCAAAAAAAAAAATTTAAAAAAAAAAAAAAAAAAAAGGGGGGAAAAGGGGTTTTTTTAAAAAATTCCCCAAAAAAACAAAAATTTTTTTTTTAAAAAAACCCCTTTTTTTTTTTAAAAAAAAAAATTTTTTTTTAAAAAAAGGGGGGGCCCCCGGGGAAAAAAAGGGCCCCAAAAAAAATTAAAGGGGGTTTTTTGGGGTTTAAAAAAGGGGGAAAAAAGGGGGAAAAAAAGGGAAAAAAAAAAAAAAAAAATTTTTGGGGAAAAGGGGGGGAAAAAAAAAATTTTAAAAAAACCCAAAAAAGGGGGAAAAAAAAAGGGGGAAAAACCCCCAAAAAATTTTTTTTTGGGGAAAAAAGGGAAAAAGGGAAAAAAAAAAAATTTTTTTAAAAAAAGGGGGGGGGAAAAAAAGGGAAAAACTTTTTCCCGGGAAAAAAAAAAAAACCTTTAAAAGGCCAAAAAACCCCGGGGGGAAAAAAAAAAAAGGAAACCCAAAAGAGGGGAAAATTTAAAAAAAAAATTTAAAAAAGGGGGGGGCCCCCAAAATTTTTTGGGGGGGCAAAACAAAGCAAAACGGAAAAAAAATTTGGGGGTTTGGGCCCCCGAAAAATTTTGGGGCCCAAAAAAAGGGGCCCCCCCCAAAAAAAAAAAATTCTTTTAAAAAGGGGAAAAAAACCCCCAAAAAGGTTTTGGTGGGGGGAAAATTTGGGGGAAAAAAAAAGGGGGCCCCCAAAAAGGGGCAGGGGGGGGAAAAAAATTTTGGGGGGGAAAAAAATAAAAAAGGGGCTAAAAAAAAAACCCCTTTTTTTGGGGGGAAAACCCCCAAAAAAAAAAAAAAAATTTTTGGGGGGAAAAAAAAAAAAAATTTTTTTTTTTTTAAAAAAAAAAAACCCCCTTTAAAAAAAAAAATTTTTTAAAAAAATTTCCCCAAAAAAGGGGGGAAAAAAAAAAAAAAAATTTTTTTAAAAAAAAAAAAAAGGGGGGGTTTTTTAAAAAAAAAAATTTTTTTTTTTTTGGGGGGGTTTTTTTTCCCCCCCCGGGGGAAAAAACCCCAAATCCCCAAAAAAAAACCCCCCGGGAAAAATTTTAAAAAAGGGGGGGACCGGGGGGTTTTCCCAAAAAAAAAAAAACGGAAAAAAAAAAAAAAGGGGAAAAAAAAAAAGGGGAAAAGGAGGGGGGAAATTAAAAAAAAAAAAGGGGGGCACTGAAAAAAAACCCCGAAAAACCCCCCCGGTTTCCCCGGAAACCGGCCCGGGGGCCGGGGAAAATTTTAAAAAAACCCCCACCCCGGGGAAAAAAAAGGAAAAAAAAACCCCCGGGGGAAAAAAAAAAAAAAAAAAGGCGGGGGGGGGGGTTTTTTTTTCCCCCAAAAAAAACCCCCCTTTTTTTTTTTGGGGGGGTTTAAACAAAAGGCAGGAAAAAAAAAAAAGGGGGGGGGGGGCAAAAAAGGGGGGGGGGAAAAAAAATGGGGTTAAAAAAATTTTGGGGGAAAAAAGAAAAAAAGGGGAAAAAAAAATTAAAAAAAAACCCCCCCCGGGGAAACGGGGCCCCCAAGCCCAAAAAAAAAAGGGGGGGGGGGGGGAAAAAAACCCCAAAAATTTAAACAAAAAAAAACCCCCAACCCAAAAAATTTTTTTGGGGGGGGGGAAAAAGGGGGGGGGGGAAAGGCTTTTAAGGGGGGACCCAAAAGGGAAAAGGGGGGGGGCCGGCCAAGGGGGGGGGGGGGAAAAAAGGGGCCCTTTTTTTCCCAAAAAAAAAAACCCCGGGGGAAAAAAGGCGGGGGGGAAAAGGCCGGGGGTGGGGAAAAAAGGGGTTTTAAAAAAAGAAAAAAAAAAAACCCCGGGGGGGGCCCAAACCCCCCAAAAAATAAAAGGGGGTTAAAAAAGGGGGGGGGGGGGGGGGCCCCCAAAAAGGGGGGAAAAAAACCCAAAAACCCCCCCGGGGGGGGGGAAAAACCAAAAAAAAAGGGGGGCAAAAAACCCCCAAAGGGGGGCCCAACTTGGGGGGAAAATTTTTGGGGGGGGGCCCCGGGGGGGGGGGCCCAAAAGGGGTTTTTTAAAAAAAAACCAAAAAAAAAAAAAGGGGGGGGGGAAAAAAAAAGGGGGGGGGAAAAAAAAAAAGAAAAAAAAAAAAAAAGGGGAAAACCCCAAAAGGGAAAAAAAAAAAGGTTGGGGGAAAAAAAAAATTTTTTGGGGGGGTTTTTTTAAAAGGGTTTTTCGGCCCCCCTTTGGAAAAAAGGAAAAAAACAAAAAAAAAAGGGGCCCAAATTGATGGGGCCCCCTAAAAAAAAAAAAAAACCCCCCC